ATATATATTGAGTGAGTTCGATGAGAGAACTTCCCTCTCTACGCCTTCACTCGGAGAAGCACTCTCTTTATGAAGACTTGACTCTTTCATTAGTTCTCCTCCACTAAGGCCACCCACTTTCCACCGATATCACCCATCCAATCTTTAGGAAATACGTAATTATAGGACAGACAGTCATGGCTTGATCAATAGTATTCACCCCTAGTTCACAGCTGCACTCACCTAGAAGACTTTGTTGCTCACCTAGAGGGACTCACCACTCATCTTGGGCATGCATCTTCAAGGACTCGCCTAAGGTGTTCATCATGGAGGATCCGTTCAAGGCACTACCCTCTAAGACTCGCTTGAGGCACTCACCACCCGCACAAGGCACTTGTCAAAGACATAACGAGTGGTGTCATAGATACATGGCCATGTGTATATATTTTTCTGATGCCCCATAATCTAATTTAGAATAATTATATTTTTCATCTCTTATTTAATTTACCAGAGATTCTATTAAATCATCTATGTAAACTAGTCTAGCGGAAGCAAATCTATAAATTGTATACATCAATCTTTCACTATATTCATTCATCAAAATTTGGTTTACAATACCCAATAGATCACTATAACACAGATCTATCTCAATAAGCTCTTGACTATAAAAGAATAAAATAAAATATAAAAATCAAAAGGAAAACTCGAAGATCTTGAGAGCCTCACTCCATAAGATCATAATCTCTTCCCTGATATGAAATCAATCAAATCCACTTAATGAGCTTATAAAGCCCAGCAGGACCCCAATACTACCAAAAGTTTCCAATGCAAGACAATAATATCAATATGCTAGCTCATCTCAATCAATAGAAAATCAATGATCATCGGTATGAAATCATCAATCAATATCAATACATCAATAGAAATTAATATAAACTGTAAGATAAAATTATCTCAAGAAATATAGAAATCGATCAACATATAAGGAAATCAATAAAAATTTATAAATCAATGTTAGGTGTCGTACGGTAAAACACACATCGATTATCAATCAATTATGTTCATGCCAATGATTCCATCATATGTTTTTTATCAATGGCATGCCATGTGTATCTATGTATCAGCATGCCATATAAATGTTCTATATCAATATGTTCATCAATATCTATAATTATATATGTCATATGTTATGTCATGCTATTTCAGTTTCAAATATTAATTTTATTAGTTCTATACCAATTTTATCTATCAATCAGTTTATGTACTATCATGTAAATATAATCATGAATGTAATTATGAGTAGTAAGACATGCCATTTAGATTTAATGCGGTGTTTTTATCTTTTCATATTTCATTCATCAGTCTTATCAAGTATTCATTTTATCATTGATTCATCATCATTACATCATCATTACAAGTGGCTTTCAATAATTTATAAAGAGTCATTACTCTTTGCCCGTCGACGTAATCTGCAAATTTGTTAATCGGGGTTACATTACAAATTATATTTAAAGGAAAACCCATCAGCTCACCCTCTTATATAGGATAGTATGTTTTAAGAATCAACTCGTATTAATTTTAATATTGATAGCCAGCCTTCCTTGCTTACATGTCAAATTCTCTATGCAGTATAAGTCAATATCATGTATGAAATACAATGCAGAAAAAATTATACATTATTTATTTACGTCAGAAAATCATAACTATCGATCTACCCGATAAAATGCTCATACAATTCATATTTATCATATACAAAATATTACACAGTGAAAGTGTGGTAAACCTAGAGAAAATTTATTTTTGTCGATTTAGGAAATATTAAATTCATCAAACTCAAAATGACTAAAAATTAGAGCGGGATTCGGCGTACCTACCACGATTAGAAAAAACCTCAAAACAAAACCAACAAACAAAAATGCTCCTAATACCCTTTCTCTTTCTTCTCTTTCTCATCCTTCTTCCCTCTTCCCTTCCTCTTTTCCTTTCCTTTCCTGGCATGCCAAGTAAATGGAATAGGAGAAATGGTTGAGTTGAGGAGGGATTTATATTAAAAAACATTTTTTCGGTGCTCAATGCTGCAGCTCTTCCAATCTGGCGTTGCAGCGCTGCATGCTGCTCCTATTATCACTTTAGAACAGAGAGTTCAACACCACCACGAAGCTTTCCTTGCACCGATGTGCTCTCAAACACAGCTTTGTAGTGCTCCAACGTAGATTTTTAATAATTTATTTTAAAATTATTTACATAAATTTCAGGCTGTTGTATTCTACTCACCTTAAGAAAATGTTGCGGGCCACTTTGGGAAAATATCGCTCGCAACATTTCTAATATTGGTAGAAAAAAATTAAATATATACTAAATCAAAGTCAATATCAAACAAAACTAAATCAATTTATTAAGTAAATCCATTCAATTCAAAACAAATCGATATGTATTAATTCTACAATTGATGCAATCCAAAATACTAATCACTGACTTATATCATTCATTTCATCCAAACAATCATGAGTTCAATCAATCAATCGCAAATGTATGCATGTCATTCAATCATATATCATTCAACATGCTATGTAATACTAATCACTCAAAACTAAATGCATATGATTAAGAATTCTACCAGTAGATCCTCCATGTACATCTTTATCATCCTGTTAAATTAGACTGTGAACTCTAGGTCGTATTGGTGCTAGTGCCGGCGTAATAGAATGTGTGGGTTCTCTTTGCTTTCACTAGCTTCTCTTTTATCAGCTCTGTTCACAGATCCTTCAATGTATCCTCTGGATCCAATAGACCTCTATCATAGCTCCCCCTGGATTCCTCCGCTCTAAATCCTGATCCTATTCTATATCGTTGTTGTGGACAATCAACCATCCGGTGTCATTGCTGTCTACATTTGAAACTCTATCTAATCATTAGAAAATGTTCTTCAATATGCTTCTTGCCAGATTGGGCACACTTTGGTACACTTCCCACCTGCATCTCAAATCCTTTTCTATTGTTTGAAGATTTACTTATCTTTTCATTGTTATCTCTTATGGTTATATCATCTCCTAATCTCTTCCTGCTCATATCCTCTTTAAACATTGGTATAGCTAAATCATTATCCACTAATCTTGCTCTCTCAACCAACTCTAAAAACTTTTAAATGCTTAATGGTATCAGGGGTGTCTCAATTCATTCTTCAGTCCTCTAAAAAATATGTAGTATTTTTCTGCCACTGTGCTAATTAACTGTGGAGGGTACCTTACCAGTGCAATAGATTCAACTTCATACAACATCATGGTCTTGTATTCCTTCTCCAATCTCATTAAAATATCCTGCATTTTCTATCAAGTTGATAGAGTTACAAACCAATTTCACAAAAAAAATAAAAAATCTCCCCAAGTAATCTTTGCTTTCATCTTTTCATAGAATTTCTCTTGTTGTTGTCAAATCCACCATCACAGCTTCACCTTCAAACAAAAACACAACTAATGGCACTTTCATGCTCTCAGGGCACTGTATACTATCAAATAGTTTCTCTATTCTTAGCAATCAATCTTTTGCTATCTGGGGTTCTATAGCTCCTTTAAATAATTGTGGCTTCAATTTAAGAGTCTCCTGACTACAAAAGATTAAAGTAAAATGCAAAAGTCAAAAGAAAAATTTGAAGATCTTGAGAGCCTCACTCCACAAATTCTGATTACTTTCCTTACTTGAAATCAATCAAATCCACATAATGAGTTTATAAAGCCTAACAGAACCCTAATACTACCAAATCTTTTAATGCAAGGCAATAATATCAATATGTATGTTTATCTCAATCAATTGAAAATTAGTGATTATCGATATGAAATCAACAATTAATATGATCAGTAAGACAAAAACATATCAAGAAACATATGAATATGTCAATATATAAGGAAATTAATAAAAGTTTATAACGTAATGTCGTATGATAAAACATACATCGATTATCTATCAATTTTATTCATACCATTGATTCCATCATATATTTTCTATCAATGGCATGCCATGTGTATCTGTCTACCAGTATGTCATATCAATGTACTATATCAATATATTCATCAATGTTTATAAGTATATCTGTCATATGCTATGTCATGTTGTATTAGTTTCAATGGGAGCAACATGACATAACATATGACAGATATACTTCCATTTATATTAAAAAATATTTTTTAGCTTTTAGTTTTGTACGTGCATTGAAAGAAGTTCCTGTTCATATTCTCATAGCATAAATTCATTCTCTTGACAGCATAAAGGGATGACTTTTCTACTCTTAGAAGGAGAATCACCGTTCTCCATTCAATGAATTTTAATATTGTCAAACTTGAACGATTGTTCAAAACCTTGATAATTCTTTTTGACATCATTAAAACTAGTGACATAATTGATGTCAATATTTTTTAAGATTGTTTGAGAGGGATTATAATTTTCACAATGGATGGCTTAAATTGTATACGAAGATAGCAATTTAAAGTACCGAGACCTTCAAAGGACATGGAATCAAATACATAAATTGTTGATGATATCTTGTACATATTAATTAGTATTGATTGATGAAACACTTGTAAAACTAGACTTTTAAAATGACCTCTAAATATGTTCGATCATCCTTTTATTTTCCACATGATATGAATAGTTAAATAATTACGATTGAAATGTAGTCATATATTATATTTACAATCAACTGTGTAATTTTGAATTTGAAGAATATATATATATAACTTCACAGTTTGAGTGAGGTACACTCTGTCTAGAGAATAGGCAACATGTTATAGAGATTATTTAATCATAATGTCAGCTTATCTGTAATGTAGTGGTTATGACTACATTCATCTGTAATGTTCTACATTCATCAATACTTAACCATTGTATTTGAAATCACATGAGCTCAATCTCAATCATCCATGTCTTTTTTTGGTGTTATTCTGATTTCTTATGAGTTTTCTCACTGAAAGATGCATTTAAATGTTAATCATTTATGCACAAATTTTCACTCCATATTGTTGTTCTAGGTGGTTTAGGATCTGGCAGTGCATCTGGTCTGGGCTCCCAGGCGAATGGGGATTCAACTAACACAACTGTGAGCATGTTTAATGCTAATCTTTATACATCTAGTTCATCCTTAAATCTCTCTATTCTGCCTTTTCAGGTATTTGTTGGAGGGCTTGACCAAGACATAAGGGAAGATGAGCTCAAGCATGTCTTTTCTAAGTACGGTGAGCTTGTATCTGTTAAAATTCCAGTTGGGAAGCAATGTGGCTTTGTACAATATGTTGAAAGGTAACCTTTCAACCTTTTCTTGTGAACATGATGGATATTTGATCATAAGTAATTATATTTAATTTTTTAATGTTTCATCATATACCGGATGATTTTTTGGCAGAAAAAATGCTGAAGAGGCACTAGAAGCGTTGAGTGGAACAATGATTGGGAAGCAGACTGTTCGCCTTTCATGGGGTCGCAATCCAGCAAAAAAGCAGGTCGGTGATCATAAGACTCATTCTTTTATCAAACAGTAAACTAATGGGAAAACTACATCATTAGCCCCACTGTGTGAAATCCTTTATAAAATAAAACTAAATTTTTAAATATCGAGGCATCTTTTGATATAACGTTTAAAATTTTATTAGAAACTCTAAATTAAGTTAAGATTGCTCATATCAGAACACTTTTGGAATGGGTGATCTCCTGAAATGTTACACTAAGGGGACAAAACTGCCACAATGGACAACATCTCAATAGTTGAGAGTTTGGCTTATTACACTTTAGTAATTTAAAATCTCTCTTTTCAACATTTTCCCCACTGGGTGCCTCTTTCCACCATTTTGGTTCATATGTAAGCCATCTTATGGTTTTTAAATTATATGTTTCTTAGATATAATTCCTGTATTTGATGCAATGCAATACACTTTCATTTTAAATTTTATGCTACTTTCTGTAAAATAATTATGATTTGCTATAACTATTAAAATAGAGAAGAGGAGAGAATTTTATATAATTTGAGATGACTATTCCTTGCCCAAGTTTTGGGGAAAGGCATCATTTTGTAATTTTCTTGAATTTCAATTATTCTCCTTTTTTCTTCAATTTGCAATAGAGATATTACTTTCTTTATTTAAAAAAAATATAAAATTAAAAAATTACTTTCTTTATTTGCTGGTTAGCTATTAATGTTATTTGATGATTGCAAAGCCGCTTCATTTAGTTGCTAATTAGCTATCCATTTAAGATAAATTATTCATATTTTTTTCTCCAATGACTACTATCAAACTGCCTTTCATACACAACATATAATATACATTCGTAGCTTGCTCGATCATCTGAATTTTTCCATATCATTCCAGCAATTTCTCCATTTTTCCCATCTCACAAAGTATTTCGTGATCCACAAGAGTTTTCTGTTGAATATTTCCATATTTCTCAAAAATCTTAGACGTTCTTTAACAAAATTTTTGGTAAATTGCAATATAATTCACTTAACAAGCCTTGCCAACAAAATTTTTCACTATTCTACCTTTTTTTTTTTTACAGTTGAGATTTGATCCAACGAATCAGTGGAGCGGAGGGTACTATGGTGGGCAGGTCTATGGGGGCTATGGCTACGGAATACCTGTTCATCTTCCTGGCATGTATGCTTCTTATGGCCCTTACTCCATGTATGGCAGCTTCCAACAACAAGTGAGCTAAATAAGCTGTCTCTATAGGCGCTAATTAATGATATATAGCATTGCAGAATACGCCTAAATATCAATATTTGCCACCTAATCTATATAGTTTCTAGGATATGATGTGATGTGTTACACTATAGGAAAATTTTGACTGGTTGCTGTGATTAAACTAGAATTCTTTGTACTCTATTGGTGTGATTTAAGATAATTATTCATTCATTTAGATATGCTTCTTCACTGTCTTCCCCTAGTATGATCTAGTTAGATGGATCTTTTAAATTTTGGTTTTAATCCCCAGGTGAATCTCTATAGGATAACACAGTCGTGGAAGTAGTTTGCAATTTAAAATTATTGTTTATATGAGTTAAAATAAAATTATTTATATAAATTATCAATGAAAAAGGACTATGTTTGAGTTCCGTGCAAATGACAGGGGGAGCTTCCCTACTGCCTGTAAATATTCCTCCGTGTAAGTGCTACCTTAAAGGATTCCTCTTACTTAAGATAATTTCTATTATTTCTGTCATAAAAGGATGTGAAATTAGTTCATCATGTCTTGAATAAATATAACAAGTAGGATAAAGGTTTTGTTGATTTTATAAATATGAGAATCATTGCCCAGTGAGTGATTCAAGAGAAATTATGGGGTGGATTCAAAATTTTCTTAGTGTGTATGCTAAGGTAGCTGAAGGGAATAATCCAATAGGTTTGATTAACCAAGGATATCAGTCTATTTCAGTAGTATGTGAATTAAAATTAGAGAAGATAATTATATTTCACCATGAACAATAGCATAATGAGCTAACCAGTTAATCATATCATTAACATAACCTTTTAAATTATTAAACAAACTGTTCATTTTGCTTCTAGTGAAGGTGGAAGTTTTCCTAGGAGGAAAGAAGAGATCATTTCCAAAGCTCTTTTGGGCTGGTAACTAGGAACTTCATGTCCTGCCCCTCTTACTGTCACAAAAGTCAGTCCTTCATATTGCACAACATAGCCTCCAACCTGCAATTTATTTGCTCTTGTTAAATAACTTATAAAAACAAAGAATTTACCAAGTAAAATTGACACATTCTGCTATGCTTACTTCTTTGTTAAGATACCATGCCCTCCATGGTTTCAGGATAGGGAGTTTAAGCATTTTAATGAAGTTCTTCGTGTTGGTAATAGGAACAACAGAATCAACATCACCACTACAAAAAAAAAAAAAAAATCAATTTCTTTTATTTCGATCCTTTTCATCTTCACAGAGGTAGGAGCAGCAGTTATTCAGTTATATCAGAATTGTTTGATTATTGAACTATAAACATACCTGTACAACCAAATATATAAGCCGCTCGAAATCAAGTCCTTAAAAGTAGAAAGCATGGTAGCAGGCCCATCTCCCCAATGTAAAAGACTGAAATAAGGAGAGAGATGTTACAGCTCAGCCTAAGTTCAATTCAAGGAGATATTATTCTGTGTGGATGCTAAATGCAGATTTACATCCGGATACCAATTAAAATCAGTCACATCAGCGATATGGAGCGACCGTACTGAGTAGTACCGAGCCCCGATACCACGTTACCGAGCAGTACCGAGCCACGGGCTTAGCCATCCGGACGGGGTTCAACTTTTGCACAGTATAATTTTTCATAAAGAAGCGAGAACAATACCTGCAACCACTCCATTTTCCAGCTTTCGCATGAAGAGCTTTCTGGACTGCAGGATTGTTCAGGTAAGAACTAACATAGTTGTCTGTGCATGGATCAAAATCTCCTCCCAAACCATCCATCTAAAGCATGAAAATAAATCTCATTTAAATATCCACTAATTACAATAATTTAAACCATGAAAAACTTATCAAAACATAAATACTGGTAACTGACCGTTGTGTCCAAATTGAGCTGAAAATCAGTGGGGCAAATAGGAGCATATATGTTGTAGTCATCAATATCTCCAGTCTCAGAAGAAGCTGAATCAATGGCGTCTGTGCATTCGGTGGATTGATTTGGATTAGAGAAGTTGCAATTTGTCAGAATCTTAGTATAAGTTTCATCAGATATCATTGAATGGCCCCATAAGAAGTCAATTTCTGCTTTATCACCTATATCTTCGTATACGTAAGGGTTACCAACCTGAAACAAAATGGCATATTATTAATGATCAACAGATGACACTAAAAAATGATAGAAATTTGACTTCGGATATTCTGAGTAAAAGTTAAGTCATTAGCTAAAATGTTTCTTCTTGAACTGTAAGACATTTTTTATTGGGTCATATGCCAGAAATTTTTGTTTATGACATAATCATAATCTTCCTCACATCTAATGAGAAGATGACCTGGTGACCAAAGATAGGAGCCACTAGGGGTGTTAATTTGGATCTATAGGTTGGGTTCGGGTGGAACCCGAGTTGATTCGGTTTTAAACGGGTCAAATCGAAGCTGACCTGTTTATGCAAATGAGTCAGCTATTTTAATCTGAACCCGACACGCGCGAGTTGCTGGGTTGACACAACCCGACTCAGATTTACAAGATTTGGCTGAAGAAGCGTGGGCTAAGCTCCCGTCGTCGGTTGCTACTTCCAGTTCAGATTCAAAGTCGACAGCTAAGTAACATTGCAACGGCGAGCAGTAATGGCATGACTCACGAGAAGACGCAATGGCAACCTGTCGGGCAACGCACGCGAAGTGACCGAAGAGATGGGAGTCACGCGACTCAACGATTCAGGCAATGCGGGCAGTTGGGCACTAGACACGGGCAGACCATTTCCGGGTCATTTTCGAGTTTTCGGGTCAACCCGAACCTGACCCGATTTTTTAAACGGGTCGGATCTCAAATAACTATAAGGGGTGAACCCGAAGAAAATAGACCAAAAAAAAAAAGTACACTCCTGTTGATTAAACTGTGTCAAGTAAACTCTTAAAGGAGATGTTGACCGAATCAAAAGACAGTATAAAGATCATTAAAGAAGACGAGGTTATGAATTTTGATCCAAATTAGGATGATGTCTTAGAGGATATAATAGAAGACGCATTCATGGTGGATACTAAAAATATATATTATCTTACAAATTATAAAGAAATGTCATGTAATTATATTATTATGTAATAAAGATGATGAAATTAATGAATTGATTATGATTAATCACCGCTATGCCGCGAAGTTTGATGTTTGTTCTGTTGGATATTTTGTTGTTCTGCATAATGGTATAAGCAAGTTGAGGGACATAATGGCCAGCATAGCTCTCTCCTGCGATGAAAAGCTCAACGTTCTTGTAATGTGGAAATCTTTCCAACCAATTTATGAGAAAAATATAGGAGTCATCAGCAGTTCTTCTATCTCCATTTTCATCATAATCTGATGATTTGTTTGAATATGAGAAGCCAACCCCAGCTGGAGATTCCAAGAATAGAACATTTGCCACTGTCAAAAATAAACTTTTAAGAGATTAATTTTACATCTTGAAACATAAGAAAAAATCAATCAACAACAACATCAAGTCTTTTGTCCCACTACGTGGGGTCGGCTACATGAATTATTTTTTTCTATTATGTCATGTTAAAAGTCAAATTCTCTTTTAAATCTAATAAAGAAATATCTTCTCTAATATTTTCCAACCAAGTCTTTTTAAGTCTATTCTACCTTTCTTAACACAAGTCAAATCTAATACATCTACTTTCCTAACGGGGTTATCGGAATGTCGCTGGTTTATGTGACCAAACCATCTAAGGCGACTCTCTCTAATCTTATCTTCCACTGGAGCTACTCTAACCTTTTCATGAATATTCTCATTTCATATCCTTTCTCTAAAAGTAAAGCCACTCATCCACCTGATTATCCTCATCTCTGCAACACTTAACTTAGTATTATGCTTCTCTTTTAATTGCCAACATTCGACATCATAAAGCATTGCAAGTCTCACCACCATTTTATAGAACTTTCTTTAAAAAAGTTAAAATTTTATTTTTTCTGATAAATTTTGCAATAATTTTGAGTTAAAATTTTAGAAATATGAATACGATTTCATCATTTTTTGGGAATCTTTAAAAAAACCAATAATTAGAATAAAATTAATGAAACATTTCTTCATTTCTTGAGTTAATTTTTATTTTTTACTAACACAATTTAAATATTTTGCAGCTCAAAAGGAAAGAAATATGAATGATTTTCTACTGTTATAAACAATTCAGCAATCTAAATTTGTGAACATAAAAGAAAAAAAAATAAAATAAAAAGCTCTAACCTTTGTTCCATGAATAGTAGTTTATGAAAAGCGTTTTTCCATCACTTCCTACTCGGAAGGGTCCTAATTCCTCCATGGCTCCAAAGCCCAATGAAGAGCATCCTGGTCCTTTGGATTGCAATATCATAAAAATCCATAAATAAATCATAAGAACAATAGCATGTGTAAATTAATTATAAGTTTTCTAATAAATATATCATAAGAAATTGACCCATAAAGTCATCTTATAACTATGTAAAACCAAGAAAATTTCACTACACGTAAATAAAGCTAAGTACTTAATATTAGCTTCTATGTAGAGAAACAACTTATCCATCATACTACCCTCAAATTAGAGGCCTTATCAAAAGAATCAAAATTTCTACCAAATGATTTATGTTAAAAAATAAATAACATATTATTTAGATCTCTCACAACTCATATTTTATTATATAATATCTCTCAAATACTTATTTTTTAATATAAATTTAAATTTTGATCATTTTTGTCTCCCTCAAAGAATTAATTATTCTGCGTGGACATCGAACATCTTTCGGAGACCAATTAGAATACGCTACATCATCCCTTTGTTCGGTACTGCGGCTCGATACTTCTCGGTACCGTTAACGTGGCACATTCTGGTTGGCCTTTGGATGACGTTCTGCATCCGGTCTCCGCATAGAATAATTTCTCCCCTCAAAGGCATCTTCTAATATTGTTTTGGCTTATATATGTTATAAAAGGATAAAGAAATTAAAGTGCAATATAAAATTAATGGCCATGTGACATTCATTCACATATCACATTATCTTCTTAGCCCCACCCTCAAGATTCAAGAGCCTCAATCTACCTATAGAGTATATTCCTTTTACATCATTACTTGTGACTATATTATAATGTCTATAGAACCTATATATGGGGCCTATCTAATGACATGAATTTATGATAATGATATGGCTATTCTTTTTTTTTTTTAAATTAAAAAAAAAATAATAATAAATGGATTTATCAAAATAAACTATTCAAAAAACATATTATGATGAAAAAAAATCCCCTTTTAAAATACATAAATGGTAAAATAATCTTTTTGCTATAACAAATGATTCTATTTGACAAAATTCGATAAAAATAGAACTAATCTTTAATTAACAAAACATTAGTGTTATATTTAAAAAAAAATTGTTAAATGTTTTTCCCCGTTAGGTTAACAAGATTCGAACGACCTTTCAATGCTCTTAAAATAAAATTATTATTTAAATTTGATAATAAAATATAGTCTTAAGAAAAGGAATTTATGCCTATTGAGTACAGTTACCCTAATAAGAAAAAGAAACATATTGATTTCAGAAACAGCAACAAAGAGTTCTCTAATATAAGTAAAGTGGTTAAATTTAAGAGCCCGATAGCGGCCTGGCAACCCCCAAAGTCGGGCCCATGACACCCCTAAAAGCCATGGCCCACTTCCCCTATTTTTGGAAAAAAAATTGCAAATGGACTTTGCATTGAGATTTGTGCACATCTAAATATGACTTCTAAGCCCATCGTAATGCATTTTGCATTAGAATATCTTTCCATAACTTCTTTTTTTTTCAAAATTTTAGAAAATAAATATATTTTTGAATTTATAAAATAATTTGATGAATGATTTTTCATATATATTTATATAATTGTAATAAAAAAACTAATATTTTGAATAATGTTCTCAAGGAAATAGTTGAAAATTGGAATACAATTTATCAAATAAATAAAATTTTAAATCTTTTTAAAAAGAAAAGAATGTCACTCATATTAATAAAAGTTTAAAAGAAAATTATAAAATGTGGTTAAAATTAGATGAAAGATTATAATCATATCTCTGCATCAATCTTCAAGAATATAGAAATAAAATTATTTGAAGGAGAAATTATTAGATATGAATTATATACTACATTTTTCACAAGAAATATGTTAGAGCGCACAAATATTACTCACTACGTAATTCATTTGTTTTGAGTACTCGACAATTATGCAGTCATCTTAAATAATAGAGCCATTGCACAGGCCCTAATTTTCCCATTTAGACTTCGTTTGGGATTGATTTCTTTCCGCTTCTTAAAGAAGGTTTCTAGTACAAAAATTTAAACTTTTGTATTAAAAAGCTGCTTTAAGAAGCAACGAGAAAGCCGTCCCAAACAAAGCCTTAGGCTTCCTTTGAGATAGTTTTTTATCACTATTTTTCAAAAAACTATTATACCAATAAGAAAATTGTACCCAGCGAAACCTTAATAAGTCAAAGAATAATATAGCGGTGAAATTGTTCAATCACTTCTCATCAAATTTGACGAGAGATTCCAATGAATTAAAAAGAAAAAGAAAACTTTGACAGATTAAATAACTTTCCTTGAAAAATATTGATCATAAAATCAAACCAAATCAATGATTGCAAAGAAAACAAAACAGATGCTCAGCTTATTACCTCCATTTAACCACAAAATAAGTGGTTTTTTATCCCTATCATGAGCTGATTCAACAAAGTAGTAGAACAGTTCCCTGCCTGCCTTTGGATCAACTGTCACATAACCTGAATATTGATCAAAATCAACTCCCACTGGCTGCCCTGGAAGCTTTTCAATTCTGTCAGCCTCCATCTTCCCTTCATGCCGGCCGATGAAAATCTTCGCCGGCAAGCCATTACCGGCGAACTCCGGCCCAGCAAAGAAAGTCTTCTTTGACAAGCTCTGCCATTTGATCAAGCTTCTAAGCTGGTCTCCCTGCCTAAGAGCTTCATGAACTGGAGCTAATGAGAAGAGGCAGAGGAAGATCAAAAGAGAAGCAATAGAGAGTAATGGAACCATCATTTTCCAATTTGATGAACTATTGGATACAAATAAGTATGATGTGCACAGATATAATTGTATTGGTTGCAATGAATTAGAAGCAACTAATTGCATTTATGAGTTGGTGACCCTTCAATTGCAGCGAATTATGAGTTGGTTTATCAATAATGATTGCAGCGAATTATGACAATCTGTTGCATTAAGGAAAAAAAATATAAACATTAACAAATGATTTATGATTTTTATGGCATTCTTTATGAATTACATGAGCTTTCTATGATATCTATGAAAAATAATTATATTCCTACGATAATTTATATTAGCATGATCTTAAGAATTAGTGCAAAAGTTAATTATTTTCAATCAAAATTTTTTATATTCTAAACTAATTTGTTATCATAAAAATCTTACAAATTGATTGAATATATGTATAACAACAACTACAACAAATCTTTATCTCATTACGTTGAGCCATTGAGGTACAAAAATTCTCTCCATTGTATCTTATTAAGACTTAGGCTTTGTTTGGGACGACTTTCTTCCTGCTTCTTAAAACTACTTTTTTTGTAAAAAAAATTAAAAAACTATTACTAGAAATCCGCTTTAAGAAGCAGTAAGAAAGCCATCCCAAACAAAGCCTTAATTTGGAATGACTTTCTTACTTCTTCTAAAGTAACTTTCTAATACAAAATTTAAATTTTTTTTACTAAAATACTGCTTTAAAAAGCTGTAAGAAAGTCATTCCAAATGAAGCCTAACTTTATTTGAGACATCTTTCTTATTTTCTAGTAGTACAAAAATTAAAATTTTTATACTAAAAAATTACTTTAATAAGCAGCAAGAAAGTCATCCCAAACAAAGCCTAACTTTATTTGAGACAGCTTTCTTACAATTTTGCTTTTCATACAACTACAATTTCTATTGGATTATTACCATTTCATTGTTTTCAATATTTTTTTACTAAAAAATTGCTTATTACAATGACTTAAAAAAAAAAAAATTTCTCCACAACTTTATAACCAACTTTATAAAAAATTGCAACCATTTCACACAGACCTTAAGAGTCAAGTTCTCATTTGAATCTAATAAAAAATGTTTATTTTTAATATTATAAACAAATTTTTTTAAGGTCTAACTCTACCCTATATATAAATATATATTTAATTATTTTTTTATTTGTTTGGATTAGATTATGTATGATTATCCCCATTGTACCATAAAACATTGAATATTATCAAATTGGTAGAATTAAACAAACCTACCAAATCGGACCAATTAGTTGAATCATGCCATTATTTTTTGCTCAGAGTTTTAGTATTGTTGGGAGTCAAAAAGGGATATAATTATTTTTCATTTTCTTTCACTCTCATAGACCCATAATTGTAGATAAGATAAGATTTTTAATTAAATCTGCACTTAAGCTAATAATCCGTAAGCATAAGACTTTAAATTAACATTTATACGAAGAAAAACAAAACCTTCAGCCATTAAAATAATCAAGCAGCCATTATTGGTTGGTTGCTCCATAACGAAGTTCTTTGTTTTTGAGTGTAACGTCGTTGCTAATGATTAGTTGTCAATGATTTCTGTAAGACTCATTGGCATGAAAAACTAAGTTTGTTACAGCGTCAACATCATTAAAATAAAATAAAAAAATCTGATGCTATTAGCTGTTTAGATGCCATAACTCAGAATTTATGATTTTAATTAACAAAATATGACATTGGGATTGGATGATATATTATAAAATTTATTATTTAAAGAGATATATAAGTGATTTAAGATAACGAAGATTTCATTTGAGATATCTTTCTTATTATTTTTTAAAATTATTTTTTAATAAAAAAATATAGTAATAATGCTTTAAAAAGCAATAGTAAAACTATGCCAAATGAAACCTAAATATTCTAATCTCTCTCCCTCTCCCCCCAAAATTTGCAGAGGCTATCATCCATAATTAAGATTCACGAAACCAGCACAATTAACAACATAAATTACTATTAGCGACGCACACCTGCATTAGCCTCTTCCATTACTTTCTGAAGCTCAGCTCCTGTCTGCCAGTTCTCCTGCAGCTTTCAGAGTTCACATGGCTACCTTTATCCTGATTAGGCTTCGTTTGAGACGTCTTCTTACTGCTTCTTAAAACAACTTTCTAGTACAAAAATTTAAATTTTTGTACTAAAAAGCTGATTTAAGAAACAGCGGAAAGAAAGCCGGTCCCAAATAAAGCCTAAATCTCTACCGCTACTACTACCTTGTGGCATTTATGTAAATTCCTTTTCTACTACTTCATCTAGTATAAATGTATCTACTGTATCCAGTATTAACCCCCAATTTTCTAGTTGGCTTCTTCTTAACAAGAATCTAGCAGTTGCTCTCTTCTCCACAATCTCCCTATCCTTGCTGCCCTAAATTATTAACTTGGATTCTTGTCATTTCCAACTGGACAACTCTTGAACGCCGACTATTCTCTACAAATTGTTGTAGAGTTATACAACTCAAGAATAAACACTTCACTCTCTCACTATGTGAAATTAGTCCATGACTGATTATCTCTCCACTGTAAATGTTTGGTGGACACATTGCTACTTCTGGTGGTACCATCGACACGAAGATATTATCCAATATATCTTAAATAGTCTACCTACTAACTATCAAGCCTTAACAACCATCTGAACAAAGGTCACACCCATTTCTTTGGATGATTTATGTGCTCTTCTCTGTAGTGAGAAAGTCATTCTTGCAACAGATGCCACCAAAGAACTCTTCCTGATGAATAAATCAACACCTGATATGCAGTTTACTCTCGCCACCACAAGGGGTTGTGGCCGCGGCCATCAGCCTTTCATCTTTGCAGACGATATGCAAATTCTTTCGTTGCTTCCAGGGGCAGTCACATCAGAAGTCCCATGTAATGTCAAATCTGTAGAAAAAAAAGGACATTGCCTTTTCTTGCCGGCACCATGCAAACCTACAATACACTCCTTAGCACCGCACACATTGCTAGCTGAATCGTCATCTCCTACTGATACTCCATAGTATTTAGACAGTGGAGCCTCTGCTCACTTAACACCCAACCTACATTCCTTGCAGAATGCCTCAACATATCAAGGATCCGATCAAGTTCTTATTGGCAATGGTACTACTCTTCCAATCAATCATTCCGGCAAAGGTCTTCTACCTACACCTTCCCATATGCTCACTCTCCCCTCTCTGTTACATGTTCTACATTTATCCCACAAACTTCTCTCCATGTCTAAACTTGTAGCTGATAACAATTGTTATATCTTATTTGACTCCTTTGGTTATGTTATAAAGGATCGGAATACACATCAGCCTCTTCCCCAAGGACCCCACCTTAATGGACTCTATTTGATCCCCACCGGTTTTAACTTCTGCAAATCTCAACAAACTACCACTTTCACTGCATCTACTATCTCCACTCTTTGGCAATGACGATTGGGACATCCAACTCCTGCAACTATCTTTGTTATTGCAAAATCATCTCCTAGTTTATGTATCTCCCTCTCCCCCTCTATATGTACCTCTTGTGCTCTAGCTAAAAGCTACAAGTTACCCTTTAATGAATGTACTACTTGTTCTACAACTCCTTTAGAACTCATTTATGCTATAATGCATGGGGATCTTCCCTTGTTGTTTCTACAAATAGTTTTCATTTTTACTTAATTTTTGTTGATGACTTCTCTCACTACAGCAGGGTGTATCCTATGAAATCTAAATCTGATACTACACCAAACTTCATTCAATTCAAAATTTTCATTGAAAAACATTTACATAAAACTATAAGAACTCTTTGTACTAATGGAGGCGATGAGTTTCTCAATAATACTATTCATTCCTTTCTAGTTCAAAATGGCATCCATCATTAATATACTTGCCCTCACACACCTCAACAAAATGGTATTGCTAAATGTAAGCATCATCACCTTCTAGAAACAGTTCGCACTCTCCTCTGTGATTCCAAATTATCCTACCATTTCTGGATTGATGCTCTTCGTATTGTTGTATACTTTATTAATCATCTAGCATCCCACACTACTTCCCAAAAATCCCCTTTTCAGCTTCCCTATAATAAACTGCCAAATTACTCCCATTTTCGCGTATTTGGTTGTCGCAACTACCCTTGGCTACACCCCTATGCCCCACATAAAATCACACCTCACTCAACTCCCTGTATTTTTCTTGGCTACACCTCAAATAAAAAAGGAAACAAATGTTACAATCCCAATATAGGTCACATTCTTGATTCAAGAAATATTCTCTTTGATGAGTCTACCACAATTCCAATCCCTCCCATTTCTCCAACAGATAACATTCCATTTCTATTTCCTCCCCACTTTCCAAGCTCACCCCACTACCTATTTCATTCACATCTCCTTCTCCTCCAAATAGTCCACTTACCTCTTCTCTACCTCTTATCCTCCTCCAGAATTACTTCCACTTCTTCCACCTCATCTACTTCCCCCACTACCTCTCTATCTTCAGCTCCATAGCACATTAGACACCCAATGATCACCCGCCTCCACATTGGCTCCCTCAAACCTCACTAACCCTGGATCTCAATCATACCATCCTAACCACCCCAACTACCTACATTCCAACAATTAAATTTCCTGAATGGCATCAAGCTATCTCCATTGAATTCAATGCTCTTCAAGCCCAAGGTACATGGATTCTTGTTCCACCTCAACAACATCAAAATGTTATTGGATGTAAATGGATATTCAAAATTAAAAGACATTTCAATGGATCTATTACAAGGCCCGGCTTGTTGCTCAAAGATTTAAACAAGAATATGGTCTTGACTACAATGAAACCTTTAGCTCCGTTGCCAAATCTCCAACGATACGTTTATTTCTCACAATCTCTCTTCATTAAGTGGTCAATCATACAACTTGATATCGCAAATGCATTTCTTCATGGCCGCTTAGATGAAACCATATACATGATCCAACTCCAAGATTTTCAAGATCCACAATATCCCAATCAATATGTCTCCTAAAAAAAGTCCTTTATGGTCCCAAACAAGCTCCTCGCCAATGGTTTTCCTACACTTTCCTCTTATCTCATTCTTCAAGGCTTTCATTCCAGTTCAATCGATTCGTCCCTCATGATCTACAACACTAATAACATTCGCATCTACATTCTTATCTATGTTGATGATATCCTTCTAACAGGTAATGATCAATGCTTCATCACTAAACTTTTCCAAAAACTTCAGCGATGGTTCAATATGAGAAACTTAGGCAATGTGTCGGCTCCTTGGTATTGATGTGACTATGACAAACAACTCCTACCATCTCTCTTGGCACACATACCATGGAACTCTTAAAGCTGGTATGAAAAACTGCAACCCCCTTCTTAACCCCTTATCTTCCAAACTACCCATAGCTCCTGAACTACAAAACCCTTTTCACAACACTTCATTGTTTCAACAGCTGTCCGGCTCCCTTCAATACCTTACTTCAACTCGCCCCAATATTGCCTTTTCCCTTAATAGAATTTTCCAACACATGCATAACCCGTTGGATTGCCATTTTCATCTCCTTAAACGCAAACTCAGGTACTTAAAAGGAACATTCACATATGATCTTCTTCTCCAACAAGGTAATCTCCAACTTCAAGCTTTCCCAAACTCCGACTAGGCCGGTGATGATACATATCACAAATAAACTACATATTTTTTTGTTTATCTTGGCCCTAATCTCATTACATTGAGCCTGAAAAAATAAATCATTGTTGCTCGATCCTCTACCGAAGTTGAATATAGGTCACTTGCCGCTAACACCACCGAAATTATTTGTCTTCGTCGCACTGCAACGACTTCTCGCTCGATACAACCCCTCTGTTTTGCGACAAATTCTCAGCTCTGTCCATTGCAAATAATCTCATTTTTCATGCAAGGACAAAACATATTGAGATCGATCACCATTTCATTCGCGAAGCCATTAATTCTCATCTTATTACTATCCAACACATCTCCTCTACTGACCAGATAGTTGACATCTTCACCAAGGCCTTACCCAACTCTACATTCTCTGATCTCAAGAGCAAGTTGACGGCCTACACTTCCCCTCAACTTGAGGGGCAGTATTAGCCACGCACACCTGCATTAGCCTCCTCCATTACTTTCTACAGCTCAACTCCTGTCTGCAATTTGCCTGCAGCTTTTCAGAGTTCACATGCCTGCCTTTATCTTTGATTAAATCTCTACCGCTACTTTTTAACAACATGACATTTATGTAAATTCCTTTTCTACTACTTCATCTAGTATAAATATATTTATTGTATTCAGGATTAACTAGTCTGTATTCAATACAGCTGCTATACCCTGAGCAATATAAGTATTCTAACAATTACTAATTATTAGAGAACAACGCAATCATGATGCCAATAACCTTAATGTGAAACTATTTGGTTGTAAATAAGAACATATGAGACCATTTAGAACAACCTGACAAAGATATATGCTGTATTGATAATAAATAAATCCACAACACTAAGAAAGTGAGAGAGCATTAGCTATGGTGGTTTGTAGAGAAGCAACGGTATCAACTGCAGCTTTAGTTAGCCAACTGATCCCGACTTTGAGTCGATGCTCATCGGTAGGCAATCTCCAGAGATAAGCCAATTTCCTTGCTGTAATGCAGAAAGCAACCATGATAAATAAATAAGGCTTTGTTTGGGATAACTTTCTTACTTCTTCTTAAAGTAACTTTTTAGTTCAAAAAATAAAAATTATGTACTAAAAAGCTGCTTTATGAAGTAGTAAGAAAGCTGTCCCAAACGAAACCTAAATCTGATACTGAAATGAATTGGAGATGCGAAGTTACCAGTATGTCCAATGGGTCCGTCCAAAGTAAAGCCGTCTATAAAGCTTGGTGAGACTGCAGCATCATTTCTTCCAAGGGTCATCATTTCTCCAAGATTCTGGAAACTGGACATCCAATGAGCAGAGCTTGTTACTATGGTGGTTAAGCAGCTTCTCACAATGAAGCAATGTTCATTTTAGCATCACATTGTACTTATCAAGCTTCAGTATTTTCATCTGCAACTTTGTTTTTTTTTTTTAAAGCACCCGCAGATTGAACAATTGAATCCGGAGCTTTTCAAGATTCAGATGTTCATTTGGATTTTTCTCTGGGTTTCAAACAAACCTCCAGTGTATATATATTATCCCATCTACCCTCTATATTAGTATATCTTTTGTCATAAATTGTACATATCAATGATAACAATCTTTTTACCTAATTATCAACTAATTGCGATCTCTTCACAAATATATATATATATATATATATATATATATGGTGATTTATCTCTTGAAACTAACAAATAGAGGGTTTGAAAGGTAAAATGAGAAATATGAACTTGGGAAGCCAAAAGCTTTGCCTAAAAAATATAGCAGCTCCACTCTCCCTTCTTCATCCAAAACAACAAAAGGTAAATTTTACGAACTCAATAAAGGTTAGAGGGCAGGCCTGGAGTAGTTAGGTGGTTCTATTATAACATGCAAGTCATAAATTTGAGTCATGGAAACTTTCTTTTCCTATACAGGGGTAAAGAGGCATCATCAATCCCATCTCAAACCATACACAAGTAGGAGCATCATGAACTGGGTATGCCTTCAAGAAAATGATTTAAGTCATTAAATTATGAAAGTTTTGATAATGATATTTTTGTATGCAATGCTCAATCAAAAATAGAAATATAAATATTTATAAGATATTTCACATCCTTACAAATTAAATTTTATGATAATTTGCCAAAGAAAAATTGCTTTGAATTTCAAATAACTGGCTCAATCATTGTGATATCCTAATTATGTGTGACAACCACCAACCTCTTTTCTTGCAAAGAAACAAGTGACCCCCATGTAATGGACTCTTTCTGTTCGTTCCAAAGTAATGGCCCCTTCAAACAATTTTCATTAATTTGGCATCTATTCTTTCATTTTTCTACATTCTTTCTCAAGTTAGAGGTTAGATATTAGTCTACACATTTATCAATAAGGAATTCAAAACTAGATTCGAACAATCCTTAGTAAGGATCTCTGTAATTTGCATGGAGGCAAGACTAAAAAAGCTTATAATTCAAGCTTCAAGCTTTTCTATTCTAAAATGATGGTTAACCTCAATATGCTCGGTTCAAGCTTCAAGCATTATTCACACTTTAAAGAGCACTAGTAACTTAATCGGAGATGTTGTCCATTTTGCTAAATAACTAAAGGTAAAGTAACTGTGATTAATGAAGACATTCATACAAGACAAAGGATGCTTGGATTTCAGGGTATTTAAAAAGAAACTGTAAACCACATTCCATCTCAATTCTCAACGAATTAATATAATAAAAAAAAGACCGTGATTTTTCATAAAAAATTTGTCAACCAAATCTCTGTCCTCTATAATTAACTGGGCTAGTTTTTCCTCAGCCAAAATAATTTAAAAGCCAGATTTCATTTAAACCAGGAAGCTTTAATGATATACGCACCGAAATGGTAAAAGAGGTCGATCATTAATAGCTGCCCAAAGATTCCAACCAGCAAAATCCGCTTGCTGAAATGCAACCTAGAACAATTTTGAACCAAAAGTTATTTCAAAATAATTATCAAAATATAGAAATGTTATGATAAGTCAATGAAAAAGTCAAGTGCGAGCCTGTGCATTCATCCCACTACATTGCAGATGCACAGCAAACAGGTGATAACTGTGCCATTAAACGAAACAAAAGTGCCAGTGCGTGCAAATTTGCAAAGAACTTGCACAGACATGCATGATAAGTACAAAGCCAAAGATCTACCAGAATGAACACTAAAAGCAATACTAAAGCCATTAGAAATTTCAAATAACTTATATACACAGAATGCTCACTCAATGTGATGATCATAAATAAGAATCACCATACTTGTGCAGTTGCAGGAAGCAACTTTCCAGATGAATCCCTCATAGCTGCAGAGTCCCCTATTGCAAATATTCTAGGATGACCTTTTACACGGAGAGTTTCATCAGTTTCTGCTTGTCCCCTTCCATTAAGTGGTAGTGCACGAGGCTGTTCAGAAGGTTCCAGCTCAGGCACAAGAGGTTTGGAGCCCACAGTCCATAAAACCAAATCTGCCTCGAGAATCTGACTCTGCAGACCTCTCTGAGCGGGTTTTAGCTCCAAAATATATTTACTGAGTGTTTTTACTTCATTATCAACACTTATTTCTTGTTCAGCACCTATAAACACAGCTGAATCTTTACTAGGAGGAGCTTCAATAATAGAGCTCACAAAATAACCCAAGAGAAGCTTAGTGTTTCGAGATGAAAGAACCTGTAGAATAATAGCAACCTATAAGAATAACACCATTATTCCATGAGAGATGCATATTACATAGAAAAAAATTCTTAGTTAAAGAAAATTTATGGAGAACCACCCTCATCATAATTATACATACACCAACAGTTCCGGTTGGCTTTGCATATTTTCCTTATTTTCTCATTCCTTGAGTGTTGCAAATGATGCTAATTCTAGTTATCTCAACTCTTTGCACAAACTCTAATTAATATAATATCAATTTAGCATATCAAACTAAGAGAAAAAGCTCAAAATAATCTCCCGACCATTTGTTTGTATTTAATTTAATCATAGAATATTACATTTCTCCAATTTGGTCCATCGATTATATAAAATTGATTTAGTCCATCGATTATACAAAATTGATCTCTAATGATCCTGGAAGTAGAAATTGGGATACAAAATGACCAAATTTAGTCCCTCGATAAAACAAAATTGATCCCAATTTTAGTCTTTGAGAACAAATAGAATCAATTATGTATGGTTAGAGGACTAAATTGGAGAAAAATTACTCTATAACTACATTGAACACATACAAATAGTTAGGGGACCATTTTGAGCTTTTAACGTATAAAAATACAAATGTTCATCTTCAGCATATAAATAAATATTTCATAGACTAAAAACTACATAAATTCAAAGAAGATGAGTGAATTTAAGGGCTGGATTACCTTTTCTATTTCTTACTACAACAACAACAACAACATCAAGCCTTTATCCCACTACGTGGGGTCGGCTACATGAATCCTTTTTCTCCATTGTCCTATTAAAAATCAAATTCTCGTTTAAATCTAATAAAGAAAGGTCATTCCTAATATTTTCTAACCAAGACTTTTTAGGTCTACCCCTACCTTTCTTAACATAAGTCAAATCTAATACCTCTACTCTCCTAACCGGGTCATCGGAAGGCCGCCGTTTTATGTGACCAAAACCATCTAAGGCGACTTTCTCTAATCTTATCTTCTACTGGAGCTACTCCAACCTTTTCACGTATATGCTCATTTCGTATCCTATCTCTAAGGGTAAAGCCACTCATCCACATGAGCATCCTCATCTCTTGCTACACTTAACTTAGTATTATGCTTCTCTTTTAATGGCCAACATTCGGCGCCATAAAGCCTTGCAGGCCTCACTACATCTTATAGAATTTTCCCTTAAGTTTGAGGGGTACAATTTTATCAATAACAAACCCGATGCAATTCCTCCACTTTAACCATCCCTGATTCTGCCTGATAATATCCCCATCTAATTTCACATCACTCTGAACAATAGATCCAAGATATCTAAAACGTTACTCTTATTAATGGACTTATCGCCCAAGTCACAATCCCTTCACTAGGTCTATACTACATAAATATTACACTCCATATATTCCGTTTTAGATCTTTACTAAGCGAAAACTTTAAATCTAAGGTTTGACCTCCATAATTCAGTTTACCTCACTCCCCCTCTCTAGTCTTATCACAAGAATAATATCATCAGCAAAAGCATACACCACAGTGACATCCTCTTGCAAGTCTAGTGAGAACATCCATGACTAAAGCAAAAAATATGGGCTTAAGGCTGATCCTTGATGTAACCCACAAATAGGGAAATACTTGGTCAATCACCTTGTGTTTGAACACAGTAATAGCTCCTGCATACATATCTTTAATGATTTGAATATAAGCATTTTGACTCCTTTCTTTTTAGAACTCTCCATTAGCATTTCTCTGGGAACTTTATCATATGCTTTTTCTAAATCAATAAATATCATATGTAGATCATCCTTATTTTCTCTATATTTCTCCATCAAACATCTTAATAAATGTATGGCTTCCATAGTCGACCTACCCGGCATGATCCAAATTGATTTTGAGAAATATTAGTATCACGCCGCAACCTATGCTCCATAACTCGCTCCAAAGTTTTTAAAGTATGATCACGATTAACTTAATACCTCTATAATTCGCACAATCTGTCCATCACCTTTATTCTTAAAAATAGGAATTAACGCTCATTCTCCACTCATCTGGCATCTTTTTAGTCTTCAAAATGTATTAACAAAGTTTGAGTAAGCCATGAAATTCCTTCATCTCCACCAGCATTTCCACACCCTCTATTGGAATATCATACAGGTCCAAAGGCTTTTGCACTTGCATCTTCTTTAAGCCTCTCCTAACTTAAGTTTATACTATCTCTAGGGGGCCGATAAAAACTAACATAATCCAGTTGTATCGTTCCAATTTAGAGGTAGGTAAGGGTCATTAGTAGTCAATACATTATTTATACATAATCTTCAATTAAAAAGTTTAAGCAAAATATCTTCATGCCATCTTTGTTGAATATCATATTCTAAGAAAAGTATTTTTTGATCTTCATCTTTAATACACTTCACTTGAACTAAAACCTTACTACTCCTATCTCTTTGTTTGGCTAACTTATACATATATCTTTCTCCCTCTTTAGTATCTAATCTATTCTATCTCTTACTAAATTAATAAAAAAATTTCAAGTTCCAAAATCCTTCAATCACCATTGTTCCGCTCTAACTGATTATCAGTGTTTATCTGACACAGATATCTAGCTAAATATAGTTAATCACCATGGTGACCTCATTATGCGGCTGTGCTTATCTCTCATTCATCAAATAATTATAGCATCATTCCTTTCAGAAGGTTTATTATATTGTTCAGACATAACAGTGCCAAAATGAAATGTCAGACATTCAGTTTTGAAGTACAGAAAATTGTAAAACAACTTTGCACATCTAACAGCAAAGCTGCTTTGCACGTAGTAGCTGCCTGAAAGTAAAATCTCTCTTCATATGGGACATTAATCTGATAGCACTGGAAATTTTTCATGATAATTCCAAATTGTTCATTGGTGAAAATCTCTCGTGTTTCAAACATTATGCTGTAAAGATTTGGTCTTGTTTCCAGTTAATTAATAGGCTTTCATGGTGAAGAATATTGTATGTATTTGGAAAGCCATTCAGAAAGTTTTAATAAGTAAAAACCAGTTGGAAAGCTTTAAAATAAATTAAAACTAAAAACATTCAATGTATTAAAAAGATAAATCATATTTCATTTAAATCAAAATTATTATTTTTTAGACTTTTGTCAAGTTATAACTATGCCAATGGTTGTCATTGAACGTCAGAAGAAAAGTTTTGCTTTGCTTCAGAATGCTGCCTTATAATGGTGTCTTCTAAAACCTCAAGTAAATAAACGTATCTATGCACAGTCCATTCATTGTAGTTACAGTGGAAATGTCAGCTCATTCAGGTGTACATTCTCTATGCCATTTAATTTGGTTGATCATTATACACAAGACCGATAAATTCAAGTAATAAAGATTCCGCAATAAAACTACCGACTTCCCGCGACTCAGTTTTACATCTTATCGCAGGATTACCTTGCTTCTTAACCAGAGTATGCCTAGAAATTGATGATAAACTTATTGCTATAAGGCAAGGTGAATACGTAACATAGGAATTATTACACATTTAGGCATGCAGATTCATATAAATTTTTGTTTAGATTTTCTTTCACAACAATTATAGCTTCCTTGAGATGTTTAAATAATTCAAAATGCAGTGATCATCCTAGATTAAGCTGAAGCTTTACTCCCAAACCAACATATTAGAAGAAGTGATCATACTTTTAAAGCAGCTTCTCTATTTCCAAAGGGTGCAGTTGGACAGATGGAAGTTTCAACATTGATTGCTTGAACTATTCCCCGACCTTTTAATCTCTCGGATATTGTGGCAGCTAGCTCTACTCCAGAGTAACCACACCCAACAATAGCAACACTTATAGTAGAAGAATCTTTGCTGAATTGCTCCCTTTCCAACATCCTCAACTTGTCATCAACTTTCTGCATTCATTACTTGTCAAACTATAAGACCAATTAATTGGTGCTTCCGCAGGAATCAGAAGAAGCATATATAGGTAGCAAAAATACAACAAAAGTGGTTAAACAGAATCATGATTTTCATAAATTAAAAAAGAAGAAATTATGTTAAACATAAATTCAGTCTAAAACATTTCAATTGAGCTCTCTTAAGTGCAAATTGTCATGATCCATTTAGACGGTACAAGAAAGCAGTAAATACAGTATTTTTTGCTCTTGTTACTTTGTTTTTTTTTTTTTTTTGAGATTTTCAAAGGAGTAAGTTAGGTCTTGAGGTTTGACCCGTCCAAGGATGCCCTGTTCCAAACATTAATTATTTACCCAGCAAAACATGACATTCTCTTTCTCTAAAATGGAAAGAAAACAATCAGCTGATTTGTAAAGCATTGGAGGGCAATAAGAATTCAAGATTAAAAATGCCATTTTTCAAACCATGACTCATAGTTTGTTTGCATCCTGTTCACAAGCATATTTGCTTTTGACAAGCAGTAGTTTAAAAACATGAACCAGATATACATAAACATAAAGCACAAAAATGCATTAACAACAATTAAATGAAAAATAAGTTCGTTTTAAGAATGCATAATCAACAAGAAATTACTAGATTTCTAGCAGTTCGTCAGTACCAACCACAATGGTATCACACAAGAAATTGTTAATTTTTCTATGTTAGGTTAGGTCTAGTTTAAGAATTCCTGCAAAAAATAGCAGGCTTTTTCACCCAGATTTTTTTGTTTGCAGATGTAATGAGTGGTATCGTTCGTTTTTTCCGCTTTTGAAAATCTTTAGGTTATGCTTAGTTTGTTTTTGTTTTCCCAAAGAAATAGAAATGTTTGATAAAATGTGCCAAAATGTAAATATGTTTGTTATCTTTCATGAAAACAAAAACATAATCTTACATCATATGGGACTATAAACCAAGCAATCCTATATGGATTATAAACTTTTTGAATAAATGATACTACAGCACGCAATAATTTAAATTACATAAGCCAATTTTATATTAATTTTGAATACAATAATACTAAAATTGTTCTAAAAAAAAAAGTGCAAATACAATTTTAGCATAATAATAACAATATCCTATAACTTAGAACTTCGACTAAACACCAGGAACAAAAGATAATGTTATGTTTAAATAGTAGAAGTATCGAAGGTTAATCATCAAGTCAATAGGGAGGCCAACCTTGAATTATTGTTATAGATTTAATCATTAATTTGTCAATTGAACCTAATAAACTTGCTTGTCGCTCAAGTTCCATACTTGACCTCATGCCCTAGTTTTGCTCCATGCTTCGTCCATTGGCCTCGCACCCATGCACATGATGCGCATCATGTGCCTTATTACTCATGCACTTCTCACTTACACTAATAGAAACTCAACTGATCGGTTCATGTAATAGCTCATTCTTTAATCTAGTAAAATAATTTTTCAAGAGTCATTATAAGTCTAATTTGCAAACTATGTATATTATTGTGCTTTAATTATAATAATTTCTCCAAATTTAAAGAGCAGTGTAGATATGAAAACAAGAAGCGTCTGATTTAATTTCAATTCCTTGAGAAGTTAACACATATCAGTATAAGTGAGTTTTCTAAAATCGTTAGGTGTCCATTTTGCAAATTAATTTTAGCAGAGCATTCTAGACATATTAGGATATTTTATGAATATTTTTTTATAATTTTTGGATCCCTATATTTAAAGATATAAAAGAATTTATAAGAATTTCACACTAAAAATTGAACAACAACAACAACAACAACAACATCAAGCCTTTATCCCACTACGTGGGGTCGGCTACATGAATCCTTTTTCTCCATTGTGTCCTATTAAAAGCTAAATTCTCGTTTAAATCTAATAAAGAAAGGTCATTCCTAATATTTTCTAACCAAGTCTTTTTAGGTCTACCCCTACCTTTCTTAACACAAGTCAAATCTAATACCTCTACTCTCTTAACTGGGTCGTCGGAAGGCCGCCTTTTTATGTGACCAAACCATCTAAGGCGACTCTCTCTAATCTTATCTTCTACTGGAGCTACTCCAACCTTTTCACGTATATGCTCATTTCGTATCCTATCTCTAAGGGTAAAGCCACTCATCCATCTAAGCATCCTCATCTCTGCCACACTTAACTTAGTTAAATTGAACAATTAACATAATTAATTTTATGTCCTTAAGACATTTTTTTAAAAAACATCCATTTCTATTAATAGAATTTTACATAAGTCATTTCCTATTTATCATTTTTTAACAGATAGCAGAAGAGAGAAATTGCGAAGAAAAAGAGAGGGGAATTAGAGAGAAACCTAAGGTTCAGCAATCGTAGAGCTGTTTTTGTCGTCCGATCCAACTAAGAAATTTGTTCGTCTCAAGATAGGCTACTATTATCATACCTTTGATTTCAATGATCATATTTATTTTATATTTTATGAATTTTAATTTGATCAAACTTACAAAAGTTTCGATATATTTATTTTTAGCAAACTTTCACTGTGTAACTTTTAGTATGTTATAATTTTAATCACTCTGCACATATTGACAAGAATATGTTGAATTTTCACATAGTACTTTTATATTTTGGGGGGGACATTTCTTAACTTAAAATTTTAGATAAATGTGAAAATTGGATAAATAATTATCAAATCTCATAATATTAATGTATGACATGTATACTTGTTACAGTAGATATATACATGGTGAAAAATAGTATTTCGACAATTTTTATAAATTTCATTAATTTTGGTTCATATGCAAATTTTATATGCATTAATATGATACAGTGAACTAAACATTGAGCATAATATCACTTGTTTGCTAATTGATATATTATATATGTTGTGATATGTATGCATGTAAGAAATGCTAGTCAGAAATGATTGGCTGATTAGGTAAACTAAAGACATGTTTACTTTATATAAGAGGGTGAGCTGTCAAGCTTTCTTTTAAAATGAGGTATTATAACCCTAAATAGTATGAAAAGGGAGACACAAGAAGACAAATTGATATGATATGATACACCAACAGACAGGAAGTGACGACTTCTTATATCACAATCATCTAATTTAAATGACATGTGATATGATTGATTCCTGAAAACATGACTAATATGATTGAGATTGATTCTCATAGGGTTAGCCTTTAGGACTAGATACAGAAAAAATTTCACAATTAGTTTGATATCTTTTCTTACTTAGAGTGCTTGCATATGCATATATATAATATATATGATATTGATAGACCGGTCCAGCCAGTCCACACAGGACCGGCTCACATTAAATGGGGCGGAACTCTTCCGCCCCCTAGATGCGCCGAACGCAATCGCAAGCCGCAGGAGCCGATTTTGGAAGGATTTGGAAGGAATTTTGGGAGGGAAATTGAATGTAGGGATTGTTTAGGGAATTCCTTTTGATTTGTATGCATTAAATAGTTTGTTTCCTAGGGTTAGGGCATCTTGAATTTGGCTGAAATTTGAGATATCTTAGATTTAGGTTTTCATTGGGCTCTAGTGGCGTCTAGAGATTTGGGAGAGATCGATCCTCATCTCGAATTGAGGATCAAGTGTATCTTGCTATTTTTCGTGTTCCTTTCATCAAATAATACAAATTATCAACTGTTTTTTGTGATTTTGTGCGGATTTTTGTGAAGAATTCTCGCTGTTTTCCGAAGATTGATAGAAAATATTTGAGATCTACAAGTGTTTCCTATCAGATATACATGCATAGCATAGATATTATATGGCATGCATATGATAATGACATGTGTATGACATAATAAAATGCTATATAAATTATTTTGTAGCAATTGGGCATAGATTTTAAAGAACTTATTGATCATTTTTTACTTGGTTACTGATCAATATTTTTAACATATACAGTTGTACTGATGTTTATTAATCATATGACATGTTATTATTTCATTGATTGTTACATGTTTTTACAGTTATATGTTCATATTGATAATGATTGAATGATTATATGCATATTGTTCACACTGTCTTGCAATAATTTCAATTGTAGGTTCTGAAAACCTACTGAGCTGTTATCTTACTATGTGGTTTTATACATTTAAGGGACATGATCTAATGGAGAGAGAACATATTTGGGATTCAAGTTTTATTTTCTTTCTATATTTTCTCTAGCTTTATTCTTTTGTAGTGAGGAAATTAGAAAGTTGAAATGAATGTAATGATTGGTCTTCTAGCTTCTGTATATGAATTTTGAAGGATGAATACAGTTTTATATTTTGATGTATATAATTTTTAATTATTTCCCATGGATCAGTTTATATTGATGAATTTATAAAAACTCTAATTGATTAATTAAAAGATTAAAATGCTTCCCATCTTGGGGCATTACAGTCCATGCCCCATTCGTTATCCTCTTGGTCATGCATAGTGGGCTCTCGTCAGTTCTCTGGCCCTGATGCCTCGTGGGGTCAGCGTACTATTTTTCCTATGCTCGATTTGGTTGGCTTTTGAACTGAGCTCCTCTTGGTGGCCCTCTCGCTACCTTCACTCCCTTTTCTCCCATTTATTGTCGATTTTTGTTCATCCTTGCAAATCCGACATCGTGCTTGATCAATTCCTTTGGTTTCAAATGGTGCCACAACTACCATTATGTTATTGATCATGCATTATAGGCTTTCACACATTCACTCTTAGGTTAGGCTAACTCATAACATAGAACCCACCTAGTCTATGATTCCAGTGAGAGAGCAGTGAATGAGCATATTGATCTCATCACTAGATATAGGCAATTGACTTAGACACTTTTATGGTCAGCCTTTAGTTTGCTGATGCCTAGCATGTTATGCCATTTTTGTAAAGTTTGCATATAGTTTAGAAGCAACACACTAAGGTAGATAACCTAGACAGACTTCAGACACACTTAGGCACTTTCTCCATCTAATCAGTCTAGGACATGTCTATCTTCTCATCATTTGGAAGGACATATTGCACATTTACATGAAAACATGAATTGACTGGTATTCTTGACCTAGGCAGAGCGTAAGTCCAGGTTACAATCTTCTCTACAATATTGAGAAGATAGTTGGGCCCTTCTTGGTCACATGCAATTAAAATGTAAGTCTCACGTTTAACAAATTCTCTACCACATTGAGAAGTCCAATCTAAGTTGCTATTGGAGCATAATTTATATTTGTCAGTCTAGGCCTAGGTCAACACCCTTGGTCTATGAGGACTACTTAGATAAGGTACCTCATGGTTTCTAACAAATGATCCTCAGGCTACCACTTGACTAAGTAGACTAAAGGCATCAATGAATTTGGGACGAAAGAATCATAGGATCTTGACCAAGGGCTTCTACCCACTTGATAGGTTAGTCCTCACTTCCTGATCGTCACTCATTTTGGCTTTCACTTTATCAAACTTATATCAATCACTATTCAATTTGAACACAATAATTGACTTTTTAATAGAGAGTGTTATGGGATACACTCAAGATGTAATTAACCTTAAGAGCTTGCTTCTTCGAAAAATCTCAACCCCTGGGATTAAAATAAATCTTGCTTGGAGCCACATTCCTTGTTGGGGAAATCCCTATGGGACATAAACTTAATATGCCTTCCATTGATCCTCGTAGCCTATATAGCATATTGATCAACAAAAGTTTGTCTTCTACAGTTCTACTGTAGTGTCGCAAGTGTCTTTTGATGTCTACAATTAGTTTTTAATTTTTTTAAATTTTGTATGGCTATATAGACTCCTAGATTTAGTCAACAATACATCAAGGGATTTTCCTCAAACAGTTAAACAATAGAGTAGTCAGGTGAAATTTTTCTTTATTTTAAACAATTCAAGGAGTACAGCTCTATAGCATGATCCATGTAATAACAAGCATCGGTGGAGAACATAAGTTCTAAACTCAAGTAACACATGCATCAAAGGTGGCAAACAGTCAATGGGGAAGAAAAACTCTCAGCCCAACTATATTTATTGACAAGATGGAACCAAAATGCTGCCTACTGTGGTATGGCCAAAAGGGTCATTCCCAAATTCTAGGATATAATGCTAGATGAAGAAGCGCCAGAAGCTATCTTACAATGGCATCCTCAAGAGTTGAGAAAGGATAGGCAAATTCAGCTGAACCTGGCACAACATCTAGCTTGGCTGCTGCTCCTAAAGCCAGCACCAACCTGGCTGACCATATGAAATGAATATAGTTAGTGTTTGGACAAAAAGGAAGAAGATATTTGAAAATAGACCATCCTAGCGTTTGTTTTCCTAATTTTAATGGATTAAGTGGAAAAACGGAAAACCATGATGCATGATAAACCAGTCTAATGAAAAGGACAACATAAGAAAAAATAATTCTGTGAATAACTACTACATTTTGAATACATCATCTCTAGAAGATAATCTTCAGAAACATTTAAAATATATTTAAGAACATTAAACAATAAAATTAAGTTATATTCACGCAATCAAACGCTGGCAATGAAAAATATTATGCAAGTGGAAGGAGAATAACTTCTAAAAAATAGAGGTTATTAATTAAATAGGGCAAAACTACCCATGGTTCCAACCAACCAAGGGTGCCGTGATAGTTTGCAAGTGGAACTTTGACTGTATGGTGTACAAGCTCCTTGGAAAGGTAAACAAGAACCTCTCTTAAATAAACTGAGTTGTTTTTATATGGTAAACACGCAAACCCGGAAACGTGCAAGAAGAAGGGGTTCTCATGTCATTGATATCCATTTGTGTCTCTCACATGCCGGAAAGAAGAAGTATGTGTCAATCACCAGCTGAAAGGGACAAGTATATGTCACTTACAAGCCAGAATTCGGAAATCATGAAGGCTGTACTTCTTAAGCTAATTAACAATATCTAGGTCAAACAAGGATTGAGTTTATCATCTAAGGCAACATAATTCACATTGTAGAAAACAAATCAAATGCATCAGTTATGTATAAACAATGGCCATATATTCAAGAAACAATGACCATGCATAGTACTTATGATAACATTGTTATTGAAACATGTCAGGTCACTAGTAAACAAAACTTCAAAATAGAGATTGCATACTACCAGTCATATTCAACTAGGACACCGCTTTCAAGAAGCACAGTTCCTCCAGGACCATTCTTCCCGGGGTTATCCAAGTGATCAGATGGTCGCAGAAGCTTTACTTTATCTTTAATAAAATGAGCGCTAGTGCTTTTCAACAGTTCCGTAAATGATGGTGCAATTTCCCATGGATCTACTTCTGACGTACCATTTACAAGAGAATTAGTAAAGTAGAAAATAGTAAAAGTAATGAACAGCTACAATAATAAAATGGAAGTTAAGACTATGATGCAAGATTCCATTACCTCCTGATAGAAGCTCGTAAAGCAGGGGCTTAAAAACAAATTTATCTGACTGATCAACAAGTAGAACCTGGTTTTCCATTAAATTGTTAAATGTAATCTCCAAATTTCATGGTGAAATTAAGATCTTAATGAGGAAAAAGTAAACTTTGTGAGCAAAAAGATGCTATATGCATTCACGGTAAGGAAGAACTTGAAGAATGTTAACAGAAATAAGCAAAACTAGCCAACTAAATTATGTTCCAATAAACTAAAATTTCATATATCTTCATCAATGATTTACCAAGATTGAGTTTTGATAATGTAATTGATAAACTATTGATGATCAACATATATAACTTTGCTTGAGGGAGAGTAAAAAAAAAAACTTGAATTCATGACCGGCACATCTGTATCTATAATAATATAATAATTCAAAATAACAATTCTTCATCTATAGCTATTCAGAATCCGTGGATGACACATCATCTACAACTATAATACCCAAAAGGTTCAAAAATAAATATAAGCATAAATTTCCTATAAACATCAACTTATTGTCATTAATTCTAAGGTTAGCATAGGACTGTTGTGGAGACTATTGTTAGCTATTGTAAATGGCTGAAATCAACTGTATTGCTGAAATCAGTAAAAAAAATGGAAGGAAAAGCTGAAAGCAGGGAAAGAGAAGAAAGGAAGGGAGTTAAGTAGAATAAAGAGAAATTTGGTAGAGGTGGTGTACAAAAGAAAAAGAAAATAGGATCTAGAAAAACAAATTCATAGTAAGGTGAAATACCCAAAAAATGTCATAGAAAATAGTAAAAATTTTATATATTTGCAAGTTCATATTTGTTATGTTTATAATAACATTTATTTCAATTTATTCCAGTTTATTTATGTATAAATGGTTAATTCATTAAGTAGTGATTACAATAGCACACTGTATGATTGTGAAAAATGTATGATATGAAAATATGAAATAGGTCATATATAGGGGATAAGCTCGCGCAAGTAAAAGCGAAAGTCCTAACGAGGTAAGCCTACACTCTCGAATTCTAAAAGTTGAGAATTCAAATACAACCTTGAATGAGAGAGCAGTTTCAATACTAAAAATTGGGAATTCAGACCTAGCCTTGAATTATAAAGCTGGAATGGTGCAAAAGTTAAAGTCATCATATGACTTATATAAAGGCGTTGAATAGGAAACAAATCAGAAAGTGGAATTATGCATTTCTTATATCTAATTTGAAAATTTACATGTATTTTAAATTAATTGCCAATATATTTATTATTTCTTATACATTCATTGCATATTACGTTGAACTCTAGCTCATTAACAATGATTATACTATAGGAAAGGAGGAATCAGTATGGCACTAGACATAAAGGGTGACTGAAATTTTTGTATACATACACTTTTTGGTGTACAAAGAAATATGAATAGGAGCTGTACAAACACTTTTAGGGATGTAAATAAATTTTTAAAAGTTTACTAAAGCTTTATATTTCATTTGAGGTGTGCATTTGTTTGAGATATTTTGCATATGTTTCATGTCATAAATTATAAAAAATTAGATATATTAGGATAGTCTGAATAGGCCACTTCTTACTCATCTGATTATGACAGAAGTGGTTCAGAATGGGTTTTAAGTAAGAAGAATATTTGTTCATATTCTCCTTCTCTGTTACATTTTAAATTGATTATAAAAGGTCAAAATGAGATGTGACAACAACAATCTAAATTATGGACCGTAACATTCCATTCCAGGGAGATCTCATCAAAAAGAAAAATAATCCATGTTGTTTCCTCTTGTTTTCAATTTATCTTGTATATTTAAGTTTGCATTCCAAAGATTGGTTTTCAAATTTGTTTCTTTACTAAATAGTTGTCTCTCTATATATTTCCATACATTTTTTCATCCTTTTTAACACAAAATAAGTCAATTCAATCATAAAATCTCCAATTTTTTACTCACTTCTCATTCTAATGTTTAACAGGATCCCTGCTATGAATACTTTCTTATTGATCAGCTCAATGCAAAAATCACATACATTGTAAAAATCTCGCTTACATAAAACCAAATTTATTCTTGAAAACGAACTTGATTTTTCAAAGTCTACATTCCATCACTTTCTCCTTTAGCTTCATCATCTGTCTCTTAAGTTTCAGTACAATATAAGAAAAAAAAGAGTAACAAATGGAAATTGATGGTAGAATTCTGGAAGTTGTTATTATCCTCTTCAACTTCATTGAAAAAAAAAAAGATGAAGCAAACAATGCTATGCCAATGACATACACTACATTATTCTTAAACAAAAAAATAAAACAATACAATGGGGAAAATTTCTTTAAAAAGCAATTTGTGTGTAGCAGCTAATCATCTCATTGCAATTACCGAATGTTCAGATATGAGTTCTAGATAAAAAAAAAGCTAATTCTACCTGTGGTTTCTTATCATCAGTCCATACAAGTGATTCAAGTCTTAGAGCAGTGTACAAGCCCCCAAATCCGCCTCCTAAAATACATATCCGTGGCTTCTGCAGCAAAGAAATAGCACAACTCTTGACCACAAAACAAACACTTCCTGTTTCTCATATATAAATGAAACAGTGCTTCAAGCTAACAAAATCAACACAAATTATATGCTTAATTCAATATGAAAAATGAGCCGCATTAGAACAAAAGTCAATAACATAAAAAAAGAGAAGTAAAAATTCACATATAATATTGAAAATTAAACCTGTTAAAGGTTTACGCATATGTTTATAGCATTATAAATGATATTTGTGAAAATAATTGTATGTCTGTCCATTATTTAGCTTAGGATTCGCTTCCTCAAAACAAATGTTCCTCCCATGATATGGGATCAACCACACAAATCCAGAACAATACCTCCAAACCACTAAAAGTTAGGCTGTTATGTGTCATAAAAAAGAGAGTATTCCACATTCTACGCCTGGGAGCTGAGCTTTTGTGAAACACAGCTATGGAGATTAGACTGATCTATTATGCATTGGACATCATCTCCAGCATCAGAATGAAACTAATCAGCACTGTTTCAAAATGTGCACATTCCACAAGCACAGATTTCACATCACAACTCATGCTGTCCTCACAGAGCTTCTATTCAATGAAATGTTTTATCAAACCTCAAAGTGAGCATAAAACTGACAAAATAACAATATGATTAAAGCTGAATGTAAACGCTTCAAACTATATCCTTGTTAACTACTTCTTGTATCTTACATAATAACATTAACATTTCAAACAATGACTAGGACAAGTAAAGACTGATTTATAACCACATTGAACCTTTAAATTGATAAATGACTTTCGTTTATCATGGATAATGACCTGGTTATCTGGCCATCTGTATGAATTTTGTACTGTTTCTCCTTCTGATGTGTAACAAACAAATCTGTCCATGCTTGTTCGTCCTAATGAACTACTGCAGAACAAACTTGCAGGGGGAGGAGAAAAGAATGCTAGTTTGCCAGCATACCCACTTAAACACCTCAGATTAAGTTTATGCCGCTGGCCTGCTGATCCTGAAAAAATCCATGAAAGAATGCTGCCATTAAAGCCTCAATAAACAATTAGGCATCCAAACAGTAGCAAAAGGAATTCATAATGTCAATAATTACTTCTTAAATTAGCACACTTTGATAAATTTAGCCAGAAAAACAATGCTACCATTAAAAGGAGCTTTGTATTCTACCTAGGAAGCAAGAAAACTTTCAAATAGCTTTCATGTCTATGTCAGACACAAAACATCTTTGACACCCCCTAACACATGTATTATAAGTTGAAATTTGTGTTAGAAGCATTTTAAGATAAAATAACGTTCCAACACAGGTCAGATCTGGCCTGACATAGTCCGGACAACCTACAAGGACATGCACGTGAGGGATAGCTGGCCCATGAGAAATCAACACAGAAACAAAATATATATAACAATTGACAATGATTAATTAATGCTAATGTGTTAGTATTACTAACAAATGACAATGGTCACATGTGATAAAGCATTTTTTATTACTAATAGAGTTTGTTTTTTGTTTTGTTATTATTAAGCTTATTTTGAAGTTTATGTATATAATATTACACTTCACCAGGTTATATTTTTATTAAAAAACTACAATTAATTACATATTTTATATTAATAATCTATTAAATATAACATTCTCTCCCTTTCATGTTGTATCCTATTTTTTACAGTTGTCATGCCAGCATGGTCATGTCATTTCATGTTTGTATGATAGTGTTCGTGTCTATGCTTCATCAAATTCTACCAATATGATTTTCTAACAATTTATTGTTCTCTTTTAATCAAACCATTGAATTCCTTTCATTGAATGTACCACTCAATTGAAAAACATTTAACCTATTTTCCATTTAGGAATTGTTTGGTTCAATGCTATTTTGATAATAGTGTTATCTAGATAACAATGTCATCTATCAAATGCAAGATGTCTAGCTCAAAGTTATATTACTTACCAATGCAATGTTATCAAGACATCAACTATGATGTTAATGTTTCTTTTGGCATCTATTTAGTTTAGTCATTAGATAGTTCAACATCTAGATGCCGGCAGATTTGGTGGCCATCTAAAAGTATCTAAATAGAACATGAATTTCATTTATGAAATTATTATTTGAAGATTCCAGCACCAAGCAGTTGATATCTACAAATAATATAACATGAAATAGAAGATGTCAGCGAATCAAGCAGTCACTTAATAAGCAACATTTTTTTAACTTTGAATTTAAATTCATGGCAATAGCTAATCACAAACACAATTTTAAAGATAGATTGAAAAAAAAAACTTGATCAAAGTTTCTCATAACAAGAACACATGTTGAGTATCCAAACTCTAAGTTCAACTTTAAAAGACAAAAACTTACAACAAGTAATAAATGCTTTTGTGCTGTTGTTAAATTTGTATGTTTTTTCTACAATTTTGACTTCATATTTTATACGTTCACAAGTAACAAAGAAGGTGAATTATTAACAGAAGTTGAGCCATACAAGGCTAAATTTTTTTGTAATTATAAGAGTGTTGTTATAACATACATAAGATTTTCATTTTATTTTTTCTTACCAAAACTTGATACAACTCCAGAAAATTCACATTATCAACATGGAACTCAAGGGAATATATGAATTGAAAATTTTCAAAATTAAATTCAAGATCATCTGAACTCCAATTTCAACAAACTAATAGTCAAACTAAACATATTGATAACATGAACATATTGATGCTAAAAATGATCAAATCCAGCTCCAAATGAGCTTAAATCAAACACTGGAATTATATTTCAAAACTTTTGAACATAAATTGATTGATCAAATGATTTCCAATTATAGCATGCTTACAGTCAATCAAGCAGCTACGAGATCAATCTAACGAGTTCAAGATCACTTGACTATAATTGCCTAACATAATTAAGGCATTCAAATATTTGATGATTGATTTATGATCAAGGGAAACAATATGGATCATATAATAGAGTGCTTTGTATTCAGGCTGAATTTACCAAAATGCTCATCTAAGAAACTCTATAAATAGGGCTTCATTCTCTACAAAAATGAAGGTGAAAAAAGCTAAAAGAGCTAAAGGGTTCTCTTGCATTTTTCGGCTACAACGACCACCAGAAATCACTGCCACCGTCTTCAAACTCCTATCAAGATATAAATATGTTGTTGGGTTTTTAACTATCAGCCCATGAACATCAGATTTCTATAATTCCTACGAGAAATCTCTAACAATTATTCTTAATTGTAAATAACCCTAACTTTTTCAAGTATGAGGAAGAGAGGATTCTTGTATTCTACTCAATAGTCGATTATTACAATCAAGTCAGGCCCCATGATTTTACTCCTTCCTAAATTTTACACGTAAATAATTTTGTGGTTTACCAAAACTTTTATGTGTGTGCTTGATTTTCGTGCAATGTCAAGACACTAAACTCCAACTTTAGGGTTATAAATTTTCTAGCACATAACAAAACTTCTTACAGTTATTGTATGCAAAAGAAAATTGGAATTACTTTTTATTCTTCATTCATATGAGACTATTCCTCCCAACCAAATGAAGCTCAACTGATGAAGGTGCATTATAGCTAGTTAATGTAAAGTAGGCATCCTTCCATCAAGAGAAGAATCAAATACCACTAGCTAAAGCCAGAAAACTAAGAGGAATGGTACTTTAAGGACACATTAGGAGGGAAACCCTCCAAACGGCGCATCAACGAATAATACCTATGATTGACCGCAAGGAACCAGCTGAAGTAACAGTAAGCGAAGAACGATACAGGGTTCTTCCCTTTCTGTTTGTTTTTTGAACCGCTACTCTCGGGCGGTTCAAGGGAGAGCCTCTTAGCAATGCGTGAAAGGACCAACCAGCAACCGTTTGGGTTTGGGCAGTCACTTCCATGGATGGCGACGGATCTCCGGCGATGGGCCAACACCCTAGCAGAGAAAAGTATCGAGGTTGGCGTTAAAGCGTGCAAGAGGCGATTGCACGTTTACGGGGACGAACGAGGCCACGTTTGTTTTATTTCATGAAAGCGATATCGAGCAAGAAAGGTTGGGCATTTATTGGGATTTTCAGAAGCCGCGAATTAGCCCATAACTCTATGATCTGCTTCAAGGAACTTAATGGGCCTGTCTAATATTTTATAAGGATTAAGGTGCTATTTGATAGCTAAAATATTTATAGTAATATTTAATCAGAGGGTTGAAACAATGTAATCAATTTAATAAATCTATTAAATTTATCAACATAGGCATGATTGAATTTTATAGTAATATTTAATTTATTTAACATTTATTTGCCAATTTGAATTTCCAAGAATGATTATGAATAGAAATTTTAGATTTCACGATGAAAATATAATTTTGTTTTAAAAAAAACTGAGAAAATTCAATGAAGGAATAAAAAGGGTTTTTTGTTAAATGATTATTTCTTTCTATAATCAGCATAAAACTTGTTGAATAATTATGACATGAATACTTTAATACAATATGATAATTTCTTAAAATTCACTATACCTCTTAGTTTCGTAGTAAGATCTATAGGAAGATATAGCTCAAAGAAACTTAATAGGAAATGTTTTGTTTTAGATTTTGATGTAGTGGATCGTCGGAAGATGCGACCTGCAAGAAGGATTTGGGGTTTTCCCAATCCAGGGAAGAAGAAGAAGAAGCTTTCCAAAGCTTAACAAGGGATAATATTATTCAATGCTTCAAAACCTTACATTAGCTACTATTTAAAGAGGAAGATAGAACTATCTAGAGTAAGGAGGTAAACTAGTCCCTAAGCACAATAAAAGCTAAGATGTTCCTACATCATTCTCCCCATGTGTCAAAAAGCTCGACTCCGTCGAGGCACGTTATTAGAAAGGAGGTAGGGTGGCAAACAAATTCCGGGATCGAAAACTTTGAATGCAGACTTTAAAATTACCAGATGAAGAGGCTTCCTCCAAGCCAAGTAATAATTGCTCTCGGCACCATTACTGTCATCAACTTCGTTGGATTTGCTGCCCATTATCTTACATATATTACTGCCCTCATTGATCACAAGCTCATTTAACTGGACAAAGTCGGTACTCGCAGTGGTGCAATAATCAAAATGCATTGAAATTGTCCTCTGGCATGTTTCTTCAACCATTCCACCTGTAAACATCTTTGCAAATGGAGTGCTCCCCATGCTAAGAATCAGTTTGTGTGACCGAGCAACAAGACCATGTCCTTCAACATAAATGTTTACATCACTATGCTTGCCATTTGCGAGAAATTCCTTAAGCTTGCCTATAACAGCATGCTCTTCGAGTGGGAAGAGGTCAGACTGCTGAACTTCACAAGTCAAATGCCAAGCTTTCCTTACAGCCTTAGATATGTCTCGCCAACATATTTCGCAATGCTGATCCAGCGTCAATTCAAGTAAATAACCATCAGGCCCAAGAGTACCTTGATAAAGAGTGATAGTGCCTCCCTTCCTAAGCTGAAAATAATTACCTATAACTCCTCCACATTTAGGATATGCAGTGGTTGTTCCATCACCATACTCCACCCTCACAGTAGTTCCTTTGTCCCTTCTCATGCTCTTAACAATAGTTTTATCTTCTTGCAATATTCCAGAAATTGCAAATGCATCTAGCAAAACGTTGTATGCTTTAGTGACATTTCGTCGAACAGTTGGAGAGCATTCCACTGGATAGATTTTGGCAGTAAAATTTTGACCGTGCCTTTACACATATGCAGTATAAACATCCCCATCACCACTGCTCATTATAAAAACATCTTGTTGCATGCTCCCATTCTCATCGTTCTCAGAAGTTTCAATCTTAGCTAATGACTCTGTAAATTGCTGCATACTTTTCATGTACATGTCAACAATCTCCTGTTGTATCACTGGTTTCTCGGGCTCAAGACTGATCTTGATCACAGGAGGAACATATGGCTTTTCTGGTGCATCAGGATAACTGGTATCACTATCTGCAACTTCACTGGTTTTGTTTTTCTCAGTTGGAGATTCAGTAGTGCCTGGTGGTTCTGAAACAACCTGAGAATTTGCTGCATTTGTCACAGTAGGCACATCAGCTGAACCACTACTTAAAGGAGAATTATTATTTGCAACTCCAATGGCGATACAACCATTGTAGGTCGAGAAAATCTCGACATTCCTTTTTTCGGCATCATTATCAGGGCAATCAACACGACATTCGCCGTTTTGAGACTCTGTATTGGAGGGAGTAGGGAGAAAACCAGCCTTCTCCATGTCGGCAAAGAGAGTGGCTGCAAGATCAAGCCGACCACATCTTGCCTGCGTTTCAATCATCATCGCATAAAGACCAAAGTTCGGCCTGAAGCCACTGGCCTTCATTTCATCCCAGAGGCCAAGGCCGGCATTGAGCTTTCCCGCCATCGTCATGAACGCCGTGAAGTCACACCGAGGAAAGTGGATCTGAAAATCAATCCGTCCCGGCCAGATTATTGCTGCGCAAGCTCCAACGCCTCCTTCTCGTCGGTGGCCGTGAAAACGGCCATTTCGAGCCCCTGAAAAATAACTTTACCTGATGCATTGAGCCTCGGGATGTCCATCAAAGGTTTCAACGGCGAAGGGAGATAATCGGATTCCGACGAGTGAAGCATAAGGCTTCGGCCGGCTCTGAATGCGAAATGTCCTTCCAAATCTGATTTAGAAACCCATCGAGTTGAACTCAGACCGAACGGAGGGATGGTATCGGCGGCTGGGTGCGCGGGGGTCTGGTCGGCGGTGGCCTGGTCGGCTGCTGTCGGCAAGTTGAGTTGAGTGGCTGTGGGATGGGGCTCCGTCGGAGCGGGCGGTGATGGAGGATCTAGTTCGTCCATTAATGGCGGGAGAGTCTCGCCGACAGGTCGAAGGCTGCTGGAGCTCGCCATGAAGGACTCTGGGAGGTTTGAAATGGATCGTTTGCCGAGCTGTGCCTTTCTCCGGCTATTATGCAGAAGCTCCACAGCCTGAGATAGGTTCCTCGCAGGGCTCTCAGACCGGGATCGCGATGACTGTGTTGAGCAGATACTCATCTAGGCGGAAATGACATGAACGTTTGAAGAATCTTCGGCCTCAACTGTGGATGATGCCGGCATCGACGAGTGGAGTAGGCCGGCTGTCGGACCAGTGAGCGCATTTCGCTGGAGCATTGAAAATGCAGGCGAATCATGAGGCATTTATTTTGAGGTTAATATATTATATAAGGAATTAATCAAAAATTCTATTATATATATTTAATTCAAAAGAAGTTAAGGAGTATTTACATGCATATCACACAATATTTATGTATTTACATGTCTAAGACCTAAACTTTGGTATTTACTTATCTAAGCTTTAGTGTCTTAATTACATCAAAATATGTATTTTACTTTAAAACATTAATATTAGTGATATTTTTATATGATTTAAAGATTTGAGTATTATATAAGTAAATATCAAAATTTACATTTTAGATATTATTGTTTGTTAGAATATCACGATAGTAGAGAGGAAAAATTTAATGTTTAGCTTTGTATGATGATTTTGCATACGCACAAATAAAAGAGAAGTTTCAAGAGAGATCGGAATTTTTATATAAAAAAAATATGAAAGAAAAAAAAAAAAAAACACTAGGCCTAGCTTACTTAAAATGATTGCATTAGTATATGTCAATAGTTACAAATAATGTCCTTTAGTGTAATCCGGGTAGACATTATTAATACAATGTAGTATACACTAATTGGAGAGGAATGATTTCATATTTGAAGTTGTAAGAGCTTTGAGGCATTCAAAAAAATATATGTCATATGATCAATGATTGTTCTTTATAAATAAGAGATCGAAGATAAGAGAGTCTAGAATAAATGGATGTTTGGTTGTCTAAAAAAGAAATGTAATTTAAAAAGGAATACTTTATGTTATATGGATGAGTGTAAAGTAAATGTAAGTTAATGCTTTAATTTTTTGGCTGGTTTGAAAAAAAATGAATGTAGTGTAAAATTTAAAGATGGTGGCGGCCGACGATGAGTGACTATTCCTGACAGCGACCTACGACGAGTGGCAGTGGTGGTGGTCAGTGGTGGGTAATGGCAACGGCGGGCAACGGCGGTTGGCGGGGCTGGTCGATGGGTGGTGGCGTCGGTGGGTGGAGGCCGGGGGTCAAGCTAGCTTGCTTGTGATGTAAATGATTCTTGCTCAAAATTAAACGAGGTTAATTTATCTCAAAAATTAATTAAAATGATTTACGCTACATTTACTTTTACTTTACTTTGCATTTTTTTTTTTCATCCAATTAAATGTACACTAATATTTTTAAAATCATTGTATTTGTAATACTTTACACCCACTTTACTTCCAATCAAACAACCCCTAAAAGTGTTAACATAAAGAGTTAGAGTTAATGTTGACACTGGGTATGACCTTATAAGCGATGGCATGTGTCGGTGTTAATGGTGATGTTGGCAAGTGTTGGCTTTTGTGATGATGGTGCACATTAATCTTATAAGTGATGATATATGAAAATATTATTGGCGATGATAGGCATCAAAGTTAGCAGACTTCGACATTGATGTTAATATCATACATCATCATTATAGATGATGACATGTATCAATGTTATTGACGATGTTGAAAAAAAATCTAATATGTATCAAAATAGTTAGGCGACACTGGTTAAGAGATTATAATGAGGAGATAGTGGTTGATAGACCATAATTTAATAATGATGGTCAATAGGCCTCAGTTAGGTAATGGTAATCAAGAGATTGTAGCATGAAAATAGTGGTTAGAAAATTATAATCGCGTGACAATGATCAAGTGATTGAAGTTTAGTGATAACAGTTGGAGAATCATAATTGGGTGATGGTGCTTAAGGGATTGTAGTCAAGTAATAATAGTTAGATTATCATAAACATGTGATGGTGATTAAAGGATAGTAGTCGAGTGATAATAGCTAGAAAATTGTATTCAAATGATAATGATCGGAGGATTGTAGTTGAGTGATGTTGATCAAAGGTCTATAATCAAGCCATGGTGGTTGGAGGTTCAAAG